AATGACCCTCTTGTCCTTGATATGCCTAGAGGCAGCACCAAGGATAAGTTGTTCCATTATCTTTCCAGCTAATAGAATAATGGGCAGGAGTGGGGTAAGGTTTGTGATGGTAGACATCGAACAGCTATGGTAACAGCAGAATGGGAAGAGGTCTGCTGCATGAAGGGGAGACAAGTGCCACTCAGTCTTTCATACCCAGAATTTTGCCATAGCTCTTCAGTACTGACAAATTCGATGATGATGTGACACCTTACTCTGCATCTTAGAGGATTTGTGTATATATGATAAGATCAAACTCTGGAACTATCTGTTGAGCCTGTGCAATAGAAAACGTGACCTCATCTCTTGCCCTACTCTTACACATAACCCAAGAAATTTTATAGACATATGAGCTCATCCTAAGTAATTGGCCTGGGTAAGCAGGAAGCGATCTCTTCATGGATATCGTGGGTAATGATTCCCACTTATAATATCTAATGATCCCTAGGTCATCTTATCTTCCTGGTTTTGCAGTTGTGGTAGTGCAGCTGTTTCTTAAACTGGGGCTAAATATGATCTTAACCCCAAGCCCAACTTGACAGACAAGCCATGCTCTTGTACTGGTGCCAGCACATACCTTAGCCCTCTGGGCCCCCAGGATGATATAATGTCATGGGCTCCAGTCCACGCTTTCCTGAATCCTAACCTTCATCCACTACCCTAATTTTAACCTTAATCTTGAGGTCTATATCTGCCTTGTGTATGGTACACTATGGATGAGAGAGAAATGTCTTCCTTTTATTAAAATGACAGATAGTAGACATACTCATATATACCTTTTACTTTATGGAAAGGAGGCATAAGCGTATATTAAATCACTGGAATGTGCACTGATCAGCAGGCAAGACCCTAGATAACTAATAATCTGTTTGCAAAAACTATTAATAAAGTATGAACAAGCTTTCATGCAATTCAGGATTTCTCTATTAAAGATCCATGTTTTACTGAATACCTGCTGATAGTTCAAAGGCTGAAAATGAGTATGTACCTTCTCACAGTAATAAATAATCTGTAGGGCAGTCTGCATGGGTCATGACCTTCAGCAGGCAGATTCTTTTCATGCTTATATTCAGTGCTTAGAAAGTGTATGTATTAGCCCCTTGCCCTCTGTAAATCTAGCTGCCCTCTGCCTAGCAAAAATAAAAACGTCCCTGCTCGCCCATTTCACGTTCTGATCCTTTTTTCCCAGTTTCATTGGGAGGTCTGATCCTCATGGGTCTGTGCAGAAACTCTCTTGTCTTCTTCAGTATCACTGATTAATAAGTGCACTCCAGGAGCCAGGCTGCCTGCCCCACTTCCCATGCAGCAAGGTCTCTCCAGCGGCAGTGCTAAAAATGTACCACCATGTGATCTACCTGCACGTTATGCATTTTTATTTCCTGGGCTCATGGTGTCTAAGGCTGTTTAGTAAAGCATGTATTGGTGCAAGTGAGGTGTCATCAGTATCATAATTGGTAAGCGTGAGTGACAGTGCACAAAGATCCATTCTCTATGTTATGTCAGTGCTCTTGTGGTTGTGATGTTGTACTCATCACATTCTCTAGAGACCACTTTTCAAGAGTTATTCCATAGTAGAGAAATACTATATTTAAAATAGCTATAAAACTTGGATTCAAGACAATACTTGGGCCAACGGGGTTGTATTGTTTTAATATTTCCTTGCCTTTTTAAAAACAATGTATTTATTAACGTGTAATTCATTTTACGATTCTGCCCTTCCCATGTAACTGTACACCTATGTACAACTACGCAAACATCTAATGAGCTGTTTCTGTAAATGCTTCTGGATCCTAAATAATTCTGCTTAATAACTATGTTGGTTTTTTTTATTTGTCTGTTTTTCTGCAGGCTTCCATATGTAGAAGCAGTCAGCCTTTATCTGGCTTTAGTGCTCGATGCCTCGAGGATGAACAGATGCTCCAGGCCATTAGAAAAGCAAATCCTGGAAGTGATTTTCTGTATGTTGTTGACACCCGACCCAAAGTAAGTACGTTAAATTTCTTGCACATAGCAAGACAGAATCTGAGCTGAGTACATTAAAGAAGATGCACAGCCCAAGTGACTAACCATACTTCTGATCTTAGTTGCGCTTGTGTAACTCCACAGGTGAATCAGGATTTATCAGGGGATTCTTAACTAGGAACCTTGTCCACATTTTTATCTCTTAGAAAATTTTTTTCTTTACACTACAATTTTCTCTGATTTGTTCTTAACAAAATGTTAAGATACAGAAAAACAAGTAACTTGGAGTAGTAACTGTTTCCACACACAGAGGAGCTATCAGTAATTATATTACTGATGATGTTAGTGAAAAATTATTCCCGTTACAAAACTGTATTTACGGTTGCTTGTAATGTTGCAAACCTCTGCCTGCCTGTACTAAAATTTTCACTCTTGCAAGTGGGAAAATTTCAACAACCTGTGCATGAAGCTAAGGAAAGTACATTTACTGAGGCTATAAGAATTGAGGAGACCTTCTTTGAATATGTCCCACACTTTTGCATTTTTGAGAGAGAATCTGAAATATGGTAAATAGTGATCTCAGATGCCATATCTTTATCATTGACTAAAACTTTTGGACAAGATAAAAGCTTTAGAAAAAGCTGTGCAGAAACACAGAAACTCAGTAAAGATGTAGAAGAGGTTGAAAGTTAAAACTTGTGTCCAAATTTGGCACGCTAGCAAACAAGATTTCTAAAGGTCCTGTGATCCCAGGTGCTAAATGCAGCCTTGTTACAGCAGTTGATTTTGCAGCTCTTAATGCATGTATAAATCTAGAGCATGTAGGCAGTGATAGATATCAGTGCAAGCTACTCCTAGTATTCCTCAGGGAATCTTTATCAAATGTAAAGGTAAGTTATCGAGCCTGGTGCAAGGTTTCCCATTGTCCAGGAAGCCAAAAATCTACCTACCTCTCCTCTCCTCAGAACTAGTTCCTTGCCAAGATGATGAATATCAGTGGGTCAGTGAATTCAGCGTTCCCAAGTACTCTTCATATGCTGTCTCTCATTATGCTTTGATAATCTTCAAAACAAAAGCTTTGGCTGAGGAAGAAGGTTTTGTTTCCACTTCATTTAAATATGCTAACATGACCATATGCAGAGCTTTACTTAGGCTACTGTCTTTCCTCATTTTCTCCTTCCTCTACGTGTTTACAGAAGAAGCTAATATAAACTTACTACTCATGAGTAAAACAAATTAGTTCTAGAACTCTTTATAACAAAACAGAACTCGGTTATCCTCCACTTTAAACAAAATGCCAGGAAATCTGGCAAGTGAGGTCTATTCCCTTTAGAGGTTGTCTCCTCATATTCACTGAGATTAAGTGAGGACAGGCACAATTCAGAGAGCTTTGCAACAACTACTGTGAGAGCAACAGATGGAATTTTGGTAGGTGATGTGGAAAACTTGTTAGTAAATATTGTGGCAGCTGCAAAGTTTGGCAACTGAAAATATTTAAAATAAATGAGTGTCAGCCTTGCAAATTTAACCTTATATTTATTTGCTTTTTAAGAGGGCTATTTCAGATTGTCTTAACACAGGATTTTTGTGATAAAATTGCTCTGTGGCAGAGGCAGTTAATAACGTTTGCACTGAGAATTAGGTCAGTTAGGGGTGAGATGGTTTTCATTTAGGGTATCAGGGGTTTGTAGTGGCTTAGACTCATGTATACAGATCTTTCTTCCTGAAGGTATAAGCTATCACAGAGAGAGACGGCTTCTTTTTATTTATATTAGAGCACTGATGTCTACTTCAAAAGAGAAAGATTAGGATTCAGCAGATAATTCATATCTTTCTAGTAAGTCACACTGAGGACTCTGTCCTTAAAGGACATGCTGTTCACAGGCTGTATCTTTTTTTTTTTATTGTTCATTGAGAGTCAAAGCATCAGCAGACTGCTGGCTTATAGACAGTAATTTTTTTTGCCTGCACTTTTTCCAGAATTGCATACTACAAGTTAAAAGAAGTTTTACACAAGACTTGAGTAAGTGAAAAATGCTTTCTTCTTGCCTAGGTTCTTATCTCAGAGTATGGTTCCTTCTGCTGTATCATGAAATTCATGCAATATTTCGATTCCTAACGGTGGTCCACAGATGTAATTATGTGTTCCTTTTGCCAAATGCTGCTCATGGGAAGGGATGCACTAGAAAGTGTGAAGATGGGAAAAAAATCCCCTATCTTCACATATTAAATTAGACAGAATAAAAGAATTGAAAAGTGATCTCACCTATCTGTTTTCTTATGCATCTAAAATGAAATTATAATGACATATAAAGCTTTTAGTCTTTAGCTGTTTCCTTTGAAAGTTAAGAGATCAAATTTGGCTCATGGAAACCTATTTTGACATGACATAAAAACACTGGACTTGTTCACCTTAGTTGGAGGTAAGTTGGCAACAGACAGTCAATCCTACTTAATTGCATGCATCTGGCTCCAAATTAAAATCGAATATTGTGAGTATGCGTGTTTGGGGTTGAAGAGATTAAGAAGGGACATATTCTTGGGTATCACATAATACCACTAGTTAAATACTGAAGTACAATATTGTGAGTTTCAGAAGTGACCACAGAAGCAGCAAATCAATAGTACTGCCTGCAATACTGGGAAATAAACTGGAAAAGGAATTATTTGCGTAGCCTCTTGTGCTCTAGACAATGTCTAAGACATACTTCGTTTTCATTTTTCATGAACATTGGCTCCCACTGCAATGAAGATTAGTCACTCTTTGTCCAACTGATGCCTTATAAGGTCTCTCCAAAAGCTTTGTTAGTGCCCTCCAGTCTGGATGTGCAATACTCATTTTTATTTAATTCTTAAACCTTTCCTGAGCAGAAGCTGTTAGTTGTGCTTGGAGACATGGAGGTTCTGCCACGTGGGCCGCTTTGTTACTCCGGGAGCCTTCATATTTCTTGGGAAGTTCAAAGGATCTGCTGCCTTACAGCATGCATTTCACAGAAAAACAGGGACTTTATGCAAAAAGACAATTTCTTTCTACTGTACAGTGAGATTGCTATAGAAAATAAAAAACAAATAGGGAAATAAAGTACAAGTATTTAATTAATTTCTATCAGCTCTAGTTTTCATCCCAGAGACCAAAATGTGGCATAAGAGGCTTGGCAGATAGTTTTCTTTTCCCCCAAGAATCTCAAAAGGAGGGAAAAGAAGCATTAAAGAAACCCTTAATTTTATGCTTGGGAAAACTGAGCCAAAGAAGTGTTTAGTGACTTCCCCATGCCAGGAAATAAGTAACAGATTCAAAGACAAAACTGCAGCTTCCAGTTGAATGTATTTTTTGCTGAAGCACAGCAAAATACTTGACAGCGCTGCACTGCAGATGAAAATATTTGTGGTAGTTTTGTCAGTTCAAATCTCTTGTGGTCTTACACAACTAGAGCCAAGATACTATAAACTTAGGAAAAACTATTCCAACTCTCTCCTCTCTCTTAGTTATTCCAACTTTCAGGAAAGTAAGTTGTCTCAACTTTTGGATGATTTGAGCAGTAACACACAGTAATTTGGGCAACGTGACAGTGTACATATGTCATGAAACAGTGGCATGGCAGATAAGACACTGCCACCTCCTGGGTATATTATGCTAGCAAACATAATGCTGATCAAAAATAAAATCACAATAGCCTTTTAAAAACCAATTAAAACTTCTATGTTCTTGCAGAGAAGCCCTACGTAAGCTGTGGTTTTTGTGTTTAACCTCACTAATCAAGTTTCACTCGAAGTGTGTGAAATGGAGGTCAGAGCCTCAGCAGCCCAGCGCCTTGCAATAGGCTGTAAACAGATCCCTGATTCCACACCCATTGCATTCACACTGTGATTTATTGTAGTAGACCACAAGCTTTGGTTTGAAAAGGATGTCTTTGCTACTGGTTTTCACCCACTTTCCCCTAATTTTTTCAGCTCAACGCAATGGCGAACAGAGCAGCAGGGAAGGGATATGAAAATGAAGACAACTACTCCAACATCAAGTTTCAATTCATAGGCATTGAGAACATCCATGTCATGAGAAATAGTCTGCAGAAAATGCTTGAAGGTAATACTCTTTTTTGTTGAAAGCTAGAGGAAAGATTTGATTCTTTTGTCGCACAAATCAGGATAACTGTTGTGAAATCAGCAGCAGTGGAAAGCGGTGTGAAAAGAGCTTTGCCTCGTGTGCTGCATGCAGTTGCCTGCTGGCTAATGAGACTCATGCGATGGAGCATCATCATAACTAGTGATGTTTTCCTAATTGTGCAAACACCTTGTTTCGTGGGTGAAATCCGGATGTCATTCACTTCAATGACAAAATTCATCTGACTTCAATACACCTTACTGCTACTATATCTTTTGCAGTTTACAGTTCAACAGTATAATGAAAATAATCGCTCATAGCTGACTTCAATGCTAGTGGAAAATACAAGATTTTTTGGTTTTAAGCTCAGAAAATCTATGGTTTGATTTTTTATATGTAGTCAATAAGGTAGTCACACATTTTAGCCTGTGAATTTTATTAGAAACTTACTTGTGCCCTGTGTAGTGCCTGTCACATCAGGTTTATTTATGAAACTCGCAGTCAGTGGGCGTAACCATTCAGCACCTTCATAATCCCATGGAAATTAAAAATAATTGCTTTATAAATACTTATCAGTGTCTTAATGAGCACATCTGTACTGCCATTTATATTTTGAATACATTACTCTTTAGAAGCCTTCTGGGAAAAGGGTAGGAATAAATACGCCATCCTTGACCCTCAATGGCTTGTTGATTTTTAACAAGCAAATAGTAAATAGTGCTCACTCCACTCCACAGAGTCTCAGTATTTAGTTCATGTGTGTCATCAACACCTTCTCTCACCTCCTGGATCAGCTTAATCTAGCTGTTCTTGACTTGACGCTCTGCCCTGCTCTTTTATTCTTCATCTCTCTCCCATCGTCTGTATGCAAATGTGACTTTTAGATCTCAGAATGGCTTACATTTTCCATGACAGGAGTGATGTGCTCTATTTTCAAATAAGAGCAGTTTATGAAAATAAGCAGTAAAGCGTGATACAGGTAAAACAGTCGCTCTCTTGACGACTTATTTTACTTAATTCCTTGGTCTAGGGGTCTCAGGAAGGAAAACAGAAGGATTTTTAGTTCACTACGAAGTCTTGTTTGGCTAGGAGAGAGGCCAGGTGAATAAACCTGTCCCTTTATTTGTTCAGCTTAAGACCATCAAAGTTAAAATAGTAAACAACCAGCCTGGCTGCATGGGACAGTGCCGTGAATTATTTTTGAGCCAAAAGTTTGAAAGACAGGCCTACGGCTCAAACGGACATGTAACAAGGTAATTTCTAATGCATTTAACACTTCAGGCTGCTTGGGGGGCATAACATCTTAGCATCTATTTTTAAACAAACCATATGCTCAAAACATCTGCTTTTTTCCTAAGTTTTATATTTGCTATGTTGAAATCTCATATTAAGCAACCTGGCTGATGAGATCAGAAATTAGAGAAGTTAAATCTGCGATTTCAAGCCCTTGAGGCTTTCAAGTGCTTTTCTGTGTTTGGTTTTTGTTTTTTTTTTAATTTTATGACTTTCAGTGCACGAGCAGGGCTTTTCTCATGTAGGGTGCTGCATAGTTTTTCTCTTTTTCCATTTGTATCACAGTCCCTTCATCTGTTTCTCTGGTGGCTTTTAAAAGTATATTTATTACCTAACTTGCTCATACAAAGGGAACTAGAACCAAAAAGGCTGTCAAGGATGATGATAATGTACATTTAACATGGCTTTAAATTTTTATCAAGGAGTACTTTAACATACCTAGGTGAATCTCTAAGGTAAAACATCAAACAAACATTACAAAATATGTCTGCTGCTTGTGATCTCTTGTGAGATGTTATAAGGTACATAAAAACCTTGAAAAGACAATTGACGCTGATGAAAACTGATTTTAGTTTCGTGTATGTGTGCTTTATTGTTGGTTGGAAGTGTACAGCATGGAAAAGAGGACATCCAGATATAACAGGTCTGATGCGTTGCAGGAGTGCAAGGGCAATTTTATTCAACTTGCTGGAATTAAGCAGAAGTAGAGGTTGGAAGATTTTTTTCACATGAAAGACTGCAGATTATTTTCAATATACAATTTTAGATAACTTCCAATGCCGAGAAACTTTGAACAAAACCAGATTATTCAATTTTCCATTGGAAAATGCACTTACGTTAAGAATGTGTTCCTTTCAATGACATTCCTTTAAGAAAAAGCTGAGGAAATTAATTTACGCTTTTAATAATGTCAATAATTTATTTGAGTAGGTAAAATAATGATTTCAGCTTGGTAATTTTATGGACTTTAATTTTAGCAATTTTATTTATCTTAATTTTAACATATATTTACTCTTGTATAATGTTAATTTTTGGCAAAATAGATCAGCATTATAAAATGACTAAACTTGTAGGATAATGATAATATGCAAAAAATGTTGAGATTTGACTGTACTCTGGAAGTAAAATGCATTTCAACAAGCTGGAATTTCCTTACAGAAAAAAAAGGTTTTACTTTTGTCTCTGCTGCCTCATATTGCTTTAGTTTAGTATTGATTTATTTTTTTCCATTTAGAGAGGTATATGTGAAGATCGTTGTGATAATTTTGGTCCTGCACGCAACCTCCTTGAAATAATTTTTAATATTAGAAGGAAATGTCACACAAGGACTTTTTTCAGTAAAGATTCAAGGGCTGACTGAGGCTGCTGTTTGGCACTTGTGATGGGGTGAGCTTTGCTGTACAGCCAGGGGCCAACCAAGACTTGACCCCGGTTGGTTGCGCCTTGAGATGATGACCTCACATTGTCCCTGTCTGTATTTAAACAGCAAATATGTGCTTCTCCTCCCCTCATACCAGGAGCAGTACTTGCTGGTGTAAGAGCAGCCCTCTGATCCTCGGACTTCAGCAACAGAAGAGAGCCTGAGGGTTTGGCCCACAGCATCTACTCCTTCCTCTACCTATGGCCGTCCCGCCAGAAATGGGGAAACCGGTCCAGCATTCCCCTCTGGTATTTTTCCTGGTGGAAGAGGCAGTTTCCACCTCGTGTCTTGTTTCTTCCTGGGGAAGGGAGCACCGCTGGATTGCTTTGAGCTCTGCCCAGGGGCTGTTGGTTTTCCTGTGTCCACACAGTGGGTGCAGCAGGTCTTATTTCTCCAAGATTTTGGTACCTTTTCTACTGAGATGGAAATGCCTTTTCCCCTCAGGATAAGCCTCGTAATTGAAATCATAATTGAACTCAGTATTAAGGTCCAGATCAGTAGCCAAAGTCATGTGAAATACACAGTGTATGCCTTTAGGACAGTCTGAACTTTGCTCAGTGAAGTGGTCGGTAAATATTGACTCTAATTTGGTAGTGCGAATGAGCAAAGCACTATGTCAGCCTTACCTTGGCTTTCGTAAACAGAGACAGCAGCTTCAGCCAGAATTCAGCTACTAATTGGTCACGCTTCCATCTGCACAGGAGCATTAATCATGTGAAAAGCTGTTTGCTTTCAGTGCTGCTATCTATGCATTTTTATAAATATCCTTCAAAAATGACTTTTAAAATAACCATCTGGAAGAGGCCCTATGTACAAAGATTGCAAGACTTTGTGTGGACACATTAAGCTATTTGCCTCTGAATTAAATGGAATTAGGACAGTCAGGTACATTCAGATGTGGTATAAATTCTGACTTTGTATAATTGTAAAAAAACCCTTCTAAAATTAAATGCCAATTACATTGAAGGAAACTAAAGTTATGCCACTGGTCATAACAGCCATAATTAACTAAGTCTTTTAGAAGATTTCAGAGGACCAGAGACCAACTAAGACATTATTAACTCACAGATCATACATTAACTCACTAAAAACCGTGACACTTTTCACTGTATTCCTTAAATGAGTTTCACTGGTTAATATCTTTTATATTTATACACAATATAATTCTACATGGATCAAAATAAATGCATAGTCTATTTATAAGGTGAATTTATTATCTCACTATTGAAAATAGATTGCACCAAATATTGTTGAGTATTTGTTTGCTGCTGGATTGAGATGTCTGAATTAAATTCTGATTGCCTTTTTTTTTCTTCTGATGTCAGAAACTCTGTAGTATTAAAAACCAGGCACTTGGATACAGCAGGATAGAAACTTCATGTTGTGAAAACCAGGAGATTTTTTTTTCTTTAAACATGGTGTAGAGCTTGGAAAGTTTTCAGGAAAATATTTTCCTTGATGAATTATGGCTTTTGCTCACCATCGGAATACTTTCTGACTAGAAGTGAAGTTGCAGTAAGGTTTCATTCAGAGATGGAGAACTGTTGAGTGAATTGCTTTAACTCAAACACCATCTGTGGTGATGCTGAAGGCTAGTTTTGGTGGCCCTGCTCTCACACAACTTCATCAGCAAACGTGGCTGGGAATAGGAGGCTGTGGCACCAGTTAGGGGGCTGTCTGCCTGTCCAACAGCACAAGTCATACGCTGTTTCCAAGCCCTCATTATTAAATACATGATCTCCTTTCAGGGGTTTGAAAACTTTGCTCTCAACACAATTTTGGTAAATCTGTGCTGCACGGAAGGATGTATTTGGTAAACTGTTTGCAACAGGCTTTGTAACAGCTTCTTTTTTTAACATAATTCAACGTATTGGGTAAAATTCGACTCAGCCTTGTTTCTTAAGCATATGCTTTTTTCCAGTGGTAAAGTTTGACTGTGAAGTAGCCATTCTTTTCAAAAGAGGAATGTTTTACACAGGGGATATCTGAAGAGATATCTCTTAGGTTGAACGGTCAGTGAAAGCTTAAGGGACTATAAGTACCGTATATTTAAGACGTAGTTTATTTTGCAGTTTGTGAGCTGAAATCGCCTTCAATGAGTGACTTTCTGTGGGGCCTAGAAAATTCTGGCTGGCTGAAGCATATCAAAGCCATTATGGATGCTGGCATTTTTATTGCAAAGGTAAAGTGTGCAAAATGAGAACAAAACTTGGACTAACCAGATACAGAAAGTGAGGACCAATTTCCCTGTTTGTAGGTAGTCTCTGTACTCTTCAGTGATGTTGTAACTGGAAAAAACTCATCTTGTAATGCTTCATATATGAGGAGCGATGATTCTTAGGCGCTGTCAAGTGGACATTTTGCTATTTTGATAAACAAAATGTTTGTGTTCCTTTCATCAAAGAATTCAAATATACTAAAGCCTCTACTAGCCTGTATCTTGTTATGCCAGGTATTTGAATGTCCTTACTTT